AATCGCTGTCAGTAGCTGATCACTATAAAAATCATTCAGTTGCTAATGTTTCGACCTGAAGATTACAGAACCTCATGAGTGTTCTGTTTGTTTCAGTAGCCATCATGTTGCTCGCAGACTATTTGATGTTGCTTGGTGTACTTCGTAATTTCAGTTTTAGTCAGTCACTCAGTCAGTATCGATGAAACGCGTATCCTTTAGGATCAGGAAGGTAAACGCATCAGATAATGCCTCGATTGCTCCTTCTCGTTTCGTAATGTTTTTCAGCAGAAGATAATCCGAATCTGGACCGGAGTCCTTCCTGTACTTGCTCCAGATTATTCTTCGCCGCCCCCAGTGTCTTCGGCCAATCCGCTGTGCAAATAGCATCTGTTTCACTTTCCTTTCTGGAATCATTTTAAGACATGCGCAAACAATCGTAGATGCGACTTTACAGTCTGCAAGACCATTGACTGTACATTAAGGTTTTCTAGGATATCTGAAATTTCGATCGCTTCGGGATGCATGTGCCCAGCTATTCCTCTCAGAAAGCCAGTTTTAGCCGCTTGCACCAGATGTCGAAATTTTGCTTTCACGGACAACGATTTATGACCGTAGATGAGCATGTGGACGAAGACCGACTTGATCACTTTAGTCTTCAGACTCAGCTTTGCTTTAGTCACGACTGTTCGGGATAGGTCACGCAGAACGTCTCTGGCTACTGTATTCTTGCTGCTCGATCGCATAAATTTTCCATCACCGTAAACACGACGCCAAGACATTTCAAATTTACTTGCTCCACTGCTTCTCGGTTTAGCTGCAGAAAGCCAAAGACAGAAAAATGAGAAAACGCTGTGTTTTATTACGTCGTCGCAATTTGACAAATACATGTTAGCGACAGCATTTCTCGTTCCCATAATGCTTTAAGCATTTCTGGGTGCATTCCATCCTTTCCAGCGGCCTTGCCACTTATTTCAGCTTTTGACAAATTCCGTGACTTCGTCCGCTGAAAAACTAATGTCAGTTTTTGCTGCTCCTGGGACAAAGTTTCTTGAGGTTGCTCGCCTTCAGGTGGCATGCCGATACGTTTTAAACTCAATCATTTGGCGGCAGCCCTCAGCAAACCCCTCTTATTGTGCTTTCACTTGGTTTGCTCGTCAACCGTCATCACTGGAATAAGTGCAAATCCTTGTCGACGTTGTTTGCAAACGTTGCTCACGTGCCCACCGAAGACAATGTTTCCAATTTGATTCTCCAGTTGCTTCTGCCATCACTTCTTCGTATGGTACTCCATTCATTACAGCGTAGCGTGCCAGCAACGAGGTGGTAATCGATTGACAGCTCTGCTCCTCCCTTTGCGGAACAGGCACTATGATATACGATTGGGAAATCGATAATCGGCTTCCGTGTACATGCTTCCCTATACCAGATATACTGATGTACGCTTCGATGCTTGATGAAGGTGTTCATAATTGACAGTCCGTTGTTTGCATAAAGCCTCAACAATTTTATGCTAGCAACAATTTATTGATGAGGTCGTTAGGGCCGTGCTTTACAATCACGACTTTCCAATTTTCAGTGTCGCTCCAACATGCTTATTACACTCGCGCATGAGAATGAGGAACTCCTATTCGATATTTCGCATAAAGCACACTCCATTTCCTCAAGGAAAGAGCCATATTCTCTCTCGAAATTGGACGCATAGACCTGTACCAAGGTCAACGCTTTAGCCTGTTGTAGCTTCATTCAGAGTATTTTCACCCTTCCGCTCATTGGCTTCCATTTTATGATTCCTTTGGCCAGTTTAGTTCTAAGAAAACACCGTCACTAGCCTGAGTGCGCATCGTGATGTCGACGCGTGAGTAAAATTGCTCAGAGATTCATTATTCCAAATTCTTTGCGCTTTGTTGACAGTAACGAGCCATATTCACTCAGTACCTTGCTGCTTCATGAAGTAGATCGTCCTCAGAAGAAATATTCCAATTTTGGAACATGAACTCCCACTGTCGTTACCATTCCCGTGCAGCCTTGCCAACCTGCCGCAATAGCATATGGCTTTCTGCGTCCGCTGTTCCGAACGGCTAGCGGCTTCATTGCTGATTTGTATCTACGTCATCGTTGTGTCGATCTTCGACAGCCGTTATTGTGCTGCTACATGCCAGAAAGCTATGTGCAGGCTCTTATTGACGACTGTTCATAGTCTGCCCAGTTCTCCGACAGCCTTATTAACTGCGGCGATGACGAGCCAGCCTGTATAACGTTCGATAACGACAGTTCTATCATGTGCAGTTCTGTAAGTGTCACGATAGGTCTCGCCATAGTCTCCAAACCTGCACCTTTCTTACGGGTTTGGGTCCGGCAACGGTGGATCGATTTCGATTTGAGTTTAAATAATCATACTGCTATCGTTTGATCAAGCTTTCGATAATGTGACGATCTTAGCTGAAACTTCAAATGTTCTCCGTACACTGGCTCCTAGGCGAGATATTAATAAACACTGTATTTCCCTGCAGTATTCTGGTCGTGTTTATGCACAGTGTTGGTCTTGTACAGTGATTTTCCTTGCATCCATGATTATATCTTTTGGTTCATAGTTACCAATAACCGGAGATCGCCACTTCAGAATTCATTACATTTCTTCCTGAATAGTTCTAGAGATAGGATTGACTGTATTTCATCCGAACGTGCAGTTGAGTCTTTGACTTATCCGCTTTGTATAACGAGCGGGATATCGGAATTATAAGAAAACCGAAAGGAAAGTTGAAAAACTCAGACCATCAGGTTTATAGACTTGTGGGTAATGGTTCATAGAGGCGACTTATCCTAACTGTACGTCTGTTTCTTGCTTCCCATCCATGGATCATATTTGCAAAATGCATATTTGTCCAATATGCTAAAACTTAATGATGCAGCAACGGTCAACGCTATTGCTGATGAACAAGTTGCACAAGTACCTAATCTATACAGTGACATGTTCT